AATATACCGAGGAAATGATTACAATAAACAAAAGGGGCCAGGAAATTCAAAAACCAAAAAATGTTATGGAGTATAATAAATATAAGTCATTCATCGATCTATCAGACCAAAGCAAAAGCTATAACAGTTCACTACGTAAAAGTTTTAAATGGTACCGCAAACTTTTTATTGAACTAATAACTGGTACAGCTCTTGTAAACACTTATAAGGTACGTGTACCAAATAAGGCCCATCTAACAATTATTACCTTTTAATTTATTATACCTAGGAGATACGAGGTCAGGAAAAATGGGTAACATGCTTTAGTTCTAGTAATATAAAAATAAAATACAAAAAAAATTATTTTGTAATTAGTATTATCATAATCAAATAAATTATTAACTTTTGAACTAGGGCCTTATTAGGAACCCATCTTCCAAATAAGGCCCATACCTGGTCCCTAATATGGCCCACCCCAAATCTTTAATCTATGAAGCGTGTTAATGGCAATAAAACCAATGACAAGATTTACCAAATATTTAGTAAACATTAATATAATTAACAAATGATATATTATCACTTCTCACACCATGGACATACGAAATTCGGCACTTTGTCTTTGGATGTCAACCCTACACATTCTTCATGTACATACTTTTTGCATTTTTTGCAAAGTCTCATGTCAGCTGTTCTGTATTCACAGCATAAATGACAAAACCAGTTAACAGCTTCTGATGTTCCACTGCAGCTTGGAGCAGAACCGCCGTTTTCATTACTAAATTTCTCCAGATGTTTTTGGTTCACCGGAATTTTCTTTCCTTTCCCAACTGAAACCTCCTTAGAGGCATTATTTACTTTGGCACTCTGCTGCTTTTGTCTTTCAGCAAATAGTTCCTTAGTTACTACTTGCGCCTGATAGTTTAGTGCCTTTCGTCTAGGAGTCTGGAGTTTGTTTCTTAGCTCTGGAGTTTTCAAAATGTCTTGGAAGGAACAGTCGAGTTTATCATGGTTGTCGCTATCGTCATCATCGCCATTAAGACTGATATCACATGAACTATCCCTCACAGAAAATAGCTCACTTTCCGAAGAACTAGAACTGCTGGATTGGCGTCTCCTTTTTCGTAAACTCCTTTGTTCGGAAACTGATGGAATATTTGATGCTTCAGCAGGTTCGGAACCCATTTGCATGTTTTCTTCTGGATCAGGATGGGAAGGAGTGAATGCACAGTCAGGAATAGATTCTGGATCAAAAGGATAAATCCCAGTCGCTCAGAATCCAGACATGACATTAACTGGTGACGCAGCTTTTGGCCATACCTTGCTAAAGATTTTTCCAAATACCCGTCTACTAATTGCTCTATTTTCTTCTCCTTTATTAGTCGACCAATGTAATTGGACTTCATTGTCCCAATAAGACTCAAATGGTTTAAATACTGACTTGTCCATAGGCTGAAGTTCATGAGTCGTATTGCTAGGCAAGCAGTACAGTCTAATACTGTGACCTTCAGCTACGTCACAAATATCTGGATCTAAATGTGACGATGCTCCATCAAAAATTAGCAGAACTTCTCCTGCAGGTTTGTACTTAGCAAAATGATGCAGCCACTTGATAAAGGTCGATGTAGTCATTGAGCCCTTGTCTGTCATTTCTACCGCTGTTCCAGGTGGCAAATAATCTTCCCATTTTGGCTTGCGTCGCTTTCCTTTGAAAATGATCATTGGAGGAATAACCTGCCCAATTGCATTTCCACACGATACAATGGATACATTTTCTCCATGTTCAGGAGCAACAAAGTGTAGTCGTTTCTCACCTTTCTTTGCTAAAACTTGAGGACACTTGTGGAGAGACAGACGACAACCCTTTTCATCCATATTATAGATGAGTTGTGGTTTGTCAAATGCCTCTAGTTTGGTCATATTTTTTTATTTCTCGAAATGATCATTGACAATAAACTTATTCAATTTTGCAGCTCTTCCTGGATTCATATGCTGCGCCTTCCTTCTGGCAACCTCTGGGTTACTCAGTACTAATAACTTAAGCCATTTGCGCCCAGCCAAACCTTTTTCTTCATTAAAAGGATTCTGTAAATTATTTTTTTCGCAGAACTCGAATACACTGCGTCGGAGAACTTTAGCTGTCAGTGGAGTGGATACCCGACTTCAGCAAGCCGAAAAATTCTTTGAGTAAGTTCTCTTTCTTGAGTTTCCTCCAAGCAAGGTTTCTGTCCTAACTTCTTCCATCGCTTTTTTTAAATCATCCTCACTCCAGGTAGCACGTTATTTCTTTGAATCCATCTTAAAATAAAAAAATTTAATAAATAAATACACTCACTCTTCTGAATTGTAGACTTATATTTTTATAGTTTTTAAAAAATTAATTAGACGTACAAGTACAATGCCAGATAAACAGAACAAAATAATATAACTTCCATCATAGATTAAAAAAAATGTGTTTTAATATTGCTTAGTAATTGTAATTTTTTTTATTAGTCTACTTGTATTATTTGATGTATTTCCTTACATAATTATTATTCTCTGTATTTAAAACTGTAAGTGATCCCTTAGCACAATAAATAATATTTTTTTCATGCCACTTGGCATGAAAACTGTATTCAATTTCCAAACTGTATTCAATAATACAGAAAAACAGGAGTATGCCGAATAAGGCTCACCCGGGCCTTGTTTGGAGCACTACGGGTGGGCCTTACTAGGAGCCACCGGCTTAACAGTAGTTGAAACTCAAGATCTGATAATAACTCTGTAAATATACGCCGTTTTAGAAAAATAAAACTACCATATTAAAACACACAATTTCCTGTTCATAAATACAAATTTACAGTACAAAATTATTTATAACAACATGGATGTAAACAGATATAACATACCTTGCAAATAAGAACACAGCTTTGCTTTCTTGGTTGCGGCAACACAAATGAACATAAAAAGCCTAACACAACAATGGCTGCCGAAGTAATTATTGTCTCGTCCACTAGGTGTCAGTACGTAATTGATTGTAAGAGAATTTGGTACTTTTTCAAATTGTTTATGTAAAAACATGAGGGTGGGCCTTGTTAGGAACCGGGCCTTATTTGGTACATGTACCTTATAATGCATCAGAAAATTGCTAACGAAAAGATGACTATTACTGATTTCAGAATATCACTTATTACGAGTTTACTCGGCATCAAGGAGGAAAATGTAAACATAAACATTGAAGACATTGACCAGCCAGCCAGAGAACACAGGTTAGAAAAACTAGGTAGATCCGGAAGACGTAGATATAATGTATGTTTTTATAAAATATATAACGAATCTGGAAGAAAAGAAGCAAACAACAGAACACCCCAATCAGACCTAAAGTGCTCAGCCTGCTCTAAGCATTTTTGTTTAGATTGCTTTTTTGATAAACATAAGGTTACCAAATAATATTTTTTACCTTTTTATGTAAGTTGGTTATTTCCTTACAATTACCAAAATTAATTAAAATTTATTTTTTATAAAGTGCTGTAGTATGTATAACCATTCTTATTAGTTACCTGTTATGTAAGAATTTTTTTATGTTAATTCTATTATACGATCGCATTCAAATACCATTAAAAGATGTAAAATTTTAGTTAATTTTTTATTCAAAACAAAAGAAAATTTTACAGCCATGCGAGACCGCATTGGTGCTGCTTCGACATGGGCCCAATGCACTTTCGAACATTTCAGGCCCACTACTTTTCGTTTTCATAAGCACAGTAGATATATGAAGCACCAGTGTGGTCTCGTGAGGCAAAAACGAATAGTCGGCCTAGCGAGACCATGATGGTCTCGCGTAGCCGAAGTACAAGAAAGTGAGCGCGACCACGTTGGTCTCGCTTGGCACTTTACGTGTTAAATAAAAAAAATTAGAGAATTACCTCAATTTCACCAAAACGGATACAATAATCAATTTCACAACTAAAACAACTTTGTTAATGCTTCTTTATTTGGTTTCAATGGTTAACCCCAATTCAGTTACGAAAAGAGGCCTTCAGCTATACAATCAATGTTTCAATTAGGATCAAGTTTCAAGGTTTTATGATAATTTGAGTAAGCTGTACGATGAATACAAGTTTTTACCTACTCGAATATTTAATGTCAATGAAACTGGCATTGCAAACGTAAATCAACTTAATCGGATTATTGATCCTTAAGGCCAAATTCAAGTTGGGGCCGTTACAAAAAAAGACAAGAATGTGACAGTATGTTGTATAAGTGCCAGTGGATCTTTTACACCTCCACCATCCATTTATCCAAGACTGAGAAGAAATCATGCTTTATAATCCAAATATTGTTTTTGTATGTCCTACTTAATGTTAATATTTATTGTTCAAGCGCCTATCACCACTGCTCTAGTCTTTCCTCGACTTCTCTCTCAGACTCTACTACCAACACCAAATCATAGATTAAAGACCAAGGATCTCCCCTTGAAGTTCAGCTGTTATCTTTTCGGGCACAAATGAGAATAAATATGACCTTAACACAGAACCCTGATGAAGCCTAATTTTACACAAAATTTGCCCAGTCTCTAGTTGTTACCCTATTATTCATGTCTTTCACATATTCAGCCAGTACTCCTTTCTTACTTAATGTCCACCACAGTAGTATATCTTGGTAACTTTGTCATATACTTTCTCAATGTCAACAAATACCATGTGCAAGTCATTCTCTATTACTCTAATTTTTTCCATTAGCTGTCTTATAATAAAATTGCTGTTGTAGACCTGCCTTGAATATATCCAAATGGACTTTTATCCTAATTATAGTTTATTCGTCTTCCGGGTTTGGACAAATGACACGGTCCAAACCCGAAAGACGAATAAACTATAATTCTGACTCTGGCCGTGGAAGCCTACGATTTCATTGCACTTTTATCCTCTTATTTCTAGAACCATACACTAAATTGAATTGAGTGCTATGAAAAATTGTCTGCATAAATTTAAACAAATGTTGACTGGAAACAACTATTGCAAACCAAATCTAAATGAAACACTAAGTAGTGGCTATAAAATATTTTTATTCTTTGTTAAAAATCTGGTAAATCAAAGGAGGGGGACTTATTGCAATAGCAAATGTAAAAACCCTCTAAACCTTGCTAGGACCCAGTACATTTAATATAACTCAGATCCTTTTTTTATTGGAAGGAAAATACTTCTGTCCTCTATTTTTCGCTTTTTTGTAATATGCTTTGCCTTTTCCTGAAATTCTTCTTTTGCCTTATGCATTGTTCCTTGAATGACTGTCATAAATTTGGTAAAATTGTCGTTGTCTAATTCTTCCATGAAGTTTGTTAAGTTTTCTATTAAGTTTTCCATTTGCAGACTTCGATTGGTTTTTTCCTGGATCTCATTTGTCTGTTCGAGCTTCTCTCTAACAAACTCGTTAATTTCCTCCTCATGCCTTGATTTGTTAATTGAAGTTTCTTCCAAAAACCTTGCAACATCATCTAAAACAGGGTTAGTAGTTAAACAATTAAGATCAAATGATATTACAAGAAAAAGCTAAGTGCCAATTATATAAAAACTTAATAAGCCCATATGGATCTGAATTATTAAAAGTGAAGAAAGCCAAATGACTACTACTGAAGGAAAACTAGCCACATATACAAATGAGTAAAAGAAAATTGTATATTGAGAAGATATACCTTTTAACTATACAGGGTATACCAGGATCTGGATACTATAACATTCATACACATGGGAGGATTTCCATAAAAGAGACATGTGGAAAGGTTAGAAGATGAAATACCTTCCAAAATAAACAAATAAATGCCAGTTGAACATAGAACAAGAGGAAGACAGCACATTAGATATAAGGAACAAATAAAACAAGACATTGCATTTTTAAAAATAAAAATCAAAAATTGGAAGGGCAAAGTATAAAATAGATCGGAGTGGAGAAGTATTCTTGAACAGGTCAAGACCTATAAAGGGTTGTCTAGCAAATAATGATGATAAAAAGACAATAACTTAAAACTCTATAGGGATTTTGTAAAACTCTTATAGGAAATTGTGAATACTGAATCTATTGATCTTCTTTTGGATCTATTCAATACCATATAATAGAACAGGTATAATACCTAAAGAATGGCTCCAATCAACATTCATACTGCTTCCCAAAAAAGCCAATGCAAAGGAGTGCAATGAACATCGCACCATAGCCTTAGTGAGTCATGTCTTGAAATTGTTTTTAAAAGTAATTCACAATAGAATACATAAGAAATTAGATGAAGGCATAAGTAATACACAAATGGGATTTAGGAAAGGACTGGGAACACGAGATGCACTGTTTGCAGTAAGTGTTCTTTCGCAGAGATGCTTAGATATTAATCAGGAAGTATATGCCTGTTTCATTGATTTTGAGAAGGCATTTGACAGAGTGCAGCATAATCGACTTATAGAAATTTTATTAAATAAAAACATAGACAGTAGAGACATTAGAATCATCTGTAACCTCTATTGGAATCAAACAGCAAAAGTGAAAGTTGAAAACGAACTGACCAAGGATATCCAGATTCGCCGTGGGGTCCGCCAAGGGTGTATTTTATCACCCTTGTTATTCAATTTATACAGTGAAGCCATCTCAGAATTAGCGCTTGCCGAGATCAGTGAGGGCCTTATAATAAACGGTGAGCCACTTAATAACATAAGATATGCTGACGACACCGTCCTTTTGGCAGGAACACTAGAAGAACTGCAACACCTTGCTGAACAACTAAATATATATTGCAACGATTATGGACTAAAAATCAATTTGAAGAAAACCAAGTTCATGGTATTTACAAAAGCACAAAACATCAAAGTTAAGCTAGTACTAGATAATACAGAAATTGAACAAATATCTTAGTACAAATACCTTGGAGCATGGATCACAGAAGATACTGATCAGACAAAAGAAATAAGATGCCGCATTGAAATTGCGCGGTCAACTTTTAATAGAATGAGAAAACTTTTTTGTAATCGCGATATCAATATATATCGCTCCGGATAAGAATGCTTCGATGTTATATTTTCTCTACCCTTTTGTATGGAGTTGAAGCTTGGACACTTAAAAAATCCAACATTAAAAACCTAGAAGCATTCGAAATGTGGTGTTACCGACGCATTTTGAAAATATCATGGATGGATCGCAAAACAAACGAACAAGTTCTCGAACAACTAGGAAAACAATGCGAAGTTTTAAATTCCATAAAGATAAGGAAATTGGAATACTTGGGGCACATCATGAGAGGTGAAAAGTACGAACTACTAAGGAATATAATGCAGGGTAAAATCAAAGGTAGAAGAAGCGTAGGAAGACGTAAAATCTCGAGGCTACGAAATCTCCGTGAGTGGTTTGGATGCAGTTCAATTGAACTATTCAGGCGAGTAACCAATAAAATTATAATTGCCAGAATGATTTCCAATCTCCGATAGGAGTGGAACTTGAAGAAGAAGGGATTTAAAAGATGAAAGCTGTTTTCTGATAAGTGATAAGTGTGAGATTAATTATAAGAGTAAAGCAAAGGTAACATCAGAGATGCAGATATATTATTTAAAAATGTTTATTATATGTTACATACTGAAGAATGAATGTTTTTGAGTCTGTTAGGAGTAAGCTATGTTATGAGGCATGTAAGGGTAACAATTCACACAAGTCAAATGTGATTAGGATTAATTGTAATTGTATCAAATGATATAAAAAAAAAAAAATTTGTGGTCTTTACCTTCGTTGTCGAATAAGAAAACATAATTGTTATCGTTAGCATTTAATTCCTGAATCAAAGTTGTTGTTACCATATCATTTTCATCTTTTTTGTGTATATTATACTTATTGGACAAATTTCTGAGATCTTTACTTGTTAGTAAGGCAAGTCTTCCTAGTTTTGATGTTTCCAATTTTCTTGAATCTTCTAAAATTCTGCTGGGAGGCACCCCAGACATTAACTTCCCTACAACCATTTTTTCTTGTGCTTTTGACAGATGCATGGTTCTTAATTCCTCTGTATGTCCAGCATGTGTTTTCCAATAACTGACTGAGACTTGTCCTTGATCTCTCAGTTTGCAAATCAGCCTGGAGGGACATACTCCTTTAATTTTAATTGATCCACCAGATTTCTCTGTCCTAATTTTATAGTTGGGCTTATATCCTAAATATAGATTAGTATATAAGTTTAATTATTTGAAGTAACAAAGTACTGGACCTACCATTTAAGTTACTTCTGTTACAAGCATAGTAAAATATCTTATACTCCTTTTTATGAACTGCTCTTTGTTTAGCATAATTTGTCTCAATTTTCTGCATGTCTTTCCATCTCTCATATTCTTGTTCACTAGAAAATTCAAAAGTTATTAATTCAATACTCAGCTGGTGGTTCACCTTTAGATGTTTTCGTAAGTTCTCATGACTTTTTAAATTAGTTTCTTGTTCACATAAGGGACAAATAATGTGATTAATTTTCTTATTGGACACATCTATTTTATGTATTCTTTTGATATGACGATTTCGTAATTCCACATTTTTAAATATTTTGCTGCAAAGATGGCAGGCTCCTGAGATAATTTTACAGCTTGTTGAAGTAGATGTAATAGGGCTTGTTGAAGTAGATGGATAGACAGAATCCATAATTGCTTGCTAAAACAAAGTCTTACTTAACTAAATACGGTGTTCTAACGAACAGATTTTTAAAACAATTTAACAGATTTTTAAAAACAAATGAGAAATTTAAATTAAAACTTTCTGTGTGCTTGCTTATTGGCAAATTGGTATAAAACCGTCTATTGTAATGTAAACATAGTTAAGCGCCAAACAGAGAATAACATAACATAACCTGAAAAATTCAAAATCAGATGAAAATGCCGACCAATCTACAGCAGACACTCCTTATGTTATGACCAATGACCATTAAGCATCCAATGACCAATCACCAATCACATCACAGCTAACGTCGGTTGTAATTTTTACAGTCTAATTTATCATATCAAAAGTCAACATCAGATGGCGATGACACAGAATAATAAACAAACAGAATGCCCACTCTCCATGGAAAATTAAGAATTAAGTACCCGCATCTCCTTCGCGCAGACATTCCGACATGTTTTAGAGGGATCCGGTGTTGTTTATGTGGTGTGCATAGAAAAATTAACCCGGTTTAAATGATTTACGGCAATCATAGACGTTGTGGTCTGTGCTTCATGGACGTATTCTAAAATATGGCGCGCGTGCTGAAAAACTTCAAAGGCGGCATCTGAGAGTGGGTATTCTGATTGTTCTCCGTCAATGTCTTTAGTTGCCTACTTCACAGTCTTCGAACCGATATAAAATGAGTTGATGTTAATTATTGCTGATAGTTTTATCCCCTGGGATAGTACCCAATAAAGGAAGAAGAAGAAGATTGTTGATACTTGATATTGATAGGTTAGGATAAATGAATGTCAGAGAAGGGTTTTTATCTCAACTGGATATTTTAAGCTAGAATTTATAGTATGGATAGAGATATAGATCAACTAAATTCGGCTTTAAATGCCGTAAAAGTTTTAAGATCTAATGTGAGAAGCGTCTTCGAGTCAGTTAGTAATGGCCTAAGAGCAGATCATGGAGATGAAGGAAAGGAAACAAAATTTATTTATGAACTTCAGGAGCTTTTAACGACTGTGAATAATAATTTAAGGTATGTGTAGAAAACAATACATATTATGAATACATAAAATTGAATTATAGGGTATATAACTTTGAGGTATACACATATTACATGCAGCTCTAAAGATGTGACAAATTTATCCTTCTTAATATCATAAGATACCTACCTAAGAAGATACAAAAAAGTACTCCATTTTTATTTACAGTTTTCTAGAAATTAAAATAAACATGATAATGTTTTAGGGATGTAGAAAATGCAGTAGCAAATTTGACACCACCTCCTGGAGCTTTTAGCTTAGGAAATACCACATACCTTAGCCAAGAGACAACTCAAGAAAGACAAGCTTTGTATGGACAACTTGTAAATAGTTACAAATGGACTGATAAAGTAAGTTATTAATTAATGAGTGTTCTTTACAAAAAAGATCATAATTGTAAATAACTTATTTCTCCAACATTTTAATACACCGGAGGGACCGCAGACGTTCGGATACAATTAGCGTCTCTTAGCAAAGACAATGATGTCGACTTTGCTAAGTATCAAGACAATTACTCTACACACACACACACTACACCTCAAATTGTAAGATTGGCGAATGGATTTAGTGTCCGCAGTCATTTAAACACAAACAAACAACATCAACAACATTTTAATAAATAATGGCATTTTGCTCTATATTCATATTGCGAATGGCCATAAAGTTGTTTATTTTACAGTGAATATAAAAAAATTAGAGAACGGTTGGTACTGGTTCAGTATCTTCAAAGTGTGTCTATGACTGTTTTTATTAATTTATGCAATATTAACTGTGGCATTTAAAAACTTAGGATATTATTTAAAAAAAAAAAGGTAGTCCAAGATGGATCCAGATTGTTTAGGACAGAGAGGTACATAAAACAAGGAACAGCATAAATATAAAAAAATCAATACTTATATAGAATTTACAATTGTAATAAATAAATTGTTATTCATGCTTTGGAGAACCTTTATAAATAATAAAATTATTAGTAACAATATGCAATTACTTCATAAAAGTAGGTCACAATATGTTTTATTTAGTTTTATTGTTTAATCTTTTCATTTTTATTTTTCAATCTCTTCATTTATTTATATTCTATTTATGAAATTTATTTTCTTTCTTGCTGGGATATTAAATAATGTAGTGAACTAAGAAAAAATGAAAATATAATGTTATTACTATTAATTTAAAAAAAAAACTAAGTTGTACTTGACAAAATATTTATAATACCTGTTTTACTTTTGTTTAAAATTTTCCTGATGTTTTATGTAATAAATTTAAAAATGAATTAGTAATTATTATACAAAAAATAGTGCCATATTATACAGCAAAACACATTACACTAGTATAAGCCTGGTTTAAAATATGGCATAACAGTGCTTTAAAAAATAACTTTTCCATTTTGGGTATTTGTTTACATTAGTAAGGGTTGCTAAAAATGCAAATTTTTTTTAACTTGGCCTAATATGAAAAAAAACGCAAAATTTTCGTGTTTTTTTTATTACAGAAACATACGAAAAGTGTAACAATGGTAACTCTTTCGATACTGTAGCCGTAAACAGTATGATTCTCATTTGCAGCTTTGATGAGCGAGCACAGTACTATTAAGCAAGTTAATCTCCATCGTTCAGATTCTGTCACTGTACATTTTTAATTATCTACATCTTTGAAGAGCTGTAATCGTAATAGTATGTTCTACATTGTCCATCTTGCTTACTAGTATCGTTCATGTACGTTACGATTCACTAATACACAGTACATACACGGCAGTACATCACCCACCCTAGCGCCTTACTTTCGCAATACCGTTTTTTTTAAGTTTTACAAAAAAATTCCACTACTTCGATAAAACGGATATAAACAAACAGCCAACAAACTAAAAATCACTTCAATATAAAGAATGTAAACTACTGAGTGGCCGCCTCGATCGCGAAGTGAAAAATTTTCCCGGCGCCGTATATGAGCAACGCACAACCAATACTTGGCCCATAGCGAAAGGCTTAAAAAAATTGGAAAAAAAGAATATGAAAAGTAGAATATTAAAAATTAGGAAGAGGAAAATGTTATCAAAATACGAAATAGCTCTAGTTATATAAAATACATAAACCATTTGTAAATACAAATTATTTTTTCCTCATTAAATTATACAAAAATTTATAATATTGTAAAATGGCCAAAATTCATTCATTTGAAAAAAAAAGTCAAGTGTCATCTAAAAATTTAAATAAAAAAAGTTAGTATTTCACAAAAACTCATTTATTATAATCAAATTAAAACCTAAACTAATTATAATGAATAAAATACAGTTATATGAATCATTATTCGTTTATGAAAGTACTAGAGAATTATATTCTTGCCAACAGATGTAATGGTTTATGCAGAAAAACTGTAGCTCAGCACGAAAAAATGTATAAATTGTAAAGTGAATAAAAAGTAAACCACAATCCAGTGTTCAAATTTGAGGCTAATCCGACTAGCCTTCCTTATGTAAATAATTACTCAATTTTGAATGTAAGTTTTTTCATATGAGTTTGTGGATGTTTTTTAGGTGACTTTAAGAGTTAGTTATTCATGCTACATTGAAAAATAGAAACAATACAATGTGTTTACAATAAAAATAATTTACACAGAAATACAGAAAAACTATAGCTCAGCACGAAAAATGTATAAATTATAAAGTGAATAAAAAGTAAACCACAATCCACTGTTCAAATTTTAGGCTAATCCGACTAGCCTTCTTAATGTAAATAATTACTCAATTTTGAATGTAAGTTTTTTCATATGAGTGCATGGAGTTTTTTTAGGTGACTTTAAGAGTTAGTTATTATTACTACATTGAGAAATAGAAACAATACAATGTGTTTACAATAAAAATAATTTAAGTTTAAGGCGAAAACATACTGTGGTGTAGCATACAATATAATAATTTTAATTGCTGGTATTGATGGTCCAGTATTGATACTTTCTCAATTAATAATCACACCAGTTCCTTATAGTGACTACGGAGTGTTTTTTTATGACATACAATATATGATTGCTTATTTGTAGTATTTTAGGTTTGTTTAAATTGAAATTAAGTATTCTGACATATAGAGAGGAAAGAGCCAACTATTTTATATTTTCAAATTTATAGCTGAAATGGAAAATTCTGATATTGTTACTTGTTCTTATGCACAAAAGTTAATAGCTTTAAAATGTTGTAGATTCGGGAGTATAGTGCAGTGGCAGGAAACATCCTAGCAGCCAATTCTTTCAATAAGACATACAAAACTTATAGTACTGCCAAAAGAAGAAAAACACAGACAAGTCAACATAATGTATTGCCAGAGTAAGTAATTCTGTTCTATATTTTAATTCTTGCTTTTGTTACAGTGTTAAATTTGGCCTAATTTAAAAAAGCTATAAATAAATATTTTCAAGGGTTAATTATGCTAGAGATCGCATGATTTTCTATTATAGTTTATTCATCTTCCGGGTTTGGACCGTGTCATTTGTGAGTGACCCAAAAGTGGGTTCATCTCGACGTTTCGCTACAATTGTATGTAGCTTCTTCAGGAGAACAAAGAAAAAGAAATCAAATCTTCCTGTCTTTTGATTTCTTTTTCTTTGTTCTCCTGAAGAAGCTACATACAATTGTAGCGAAACGTCGAGATGAACCCACTTTTGGGTCACTCACAAATGACCCGGTCCAAACCCTGAAGACGAATAAACTATAATTCTGACTCTGGCCATGGAAGCCTACGATTTCATATGATTTTCTATGTACAATATTTCAAGAAATTAAGTCTGTAGGTCCTAGTTTCTTGAGTTATCTTGTAAAACGGAGGAAAGACTTTTTGCCAGTCTCATTTCTTTGTAAAGATTATGTAGGTATCTTGTTATCACCTTAATTTAGGAGGCAGTATTATTATGGTGGAAAAAATCAAATAGTAAATTTTATCAAATGTAATCTTTTATTATTGTAATATTTTATGAAATGAAGAATGAAGAATTCGGACTTCAAATCAACACCAGAAAAACAAAAATAATGATTGTAGACAGAGCAAATAATAATCTACCGCATATACGCCAAATAGGGATTTTCGAAGTAGTCGACAGATTTGTATACTTGGGCTCTCTGATAACCAACAATGGTGATTGTTCCTCAGAAATCAAACGTAGACTAGGAATGGCCCGAACCGCAACTGCTAAATTAATTAAAATATGGAAAGACCGAACAATAACAAGGAATACTAAGCTTAGGTTGGTCAATGCCCTTATTTTTCCCATTGCTACATATGCAGCTGAAACATGGACTCTCAAAAAAATCGATAGGAGTAAGATCGAAGCCTTCGAAATGTGGGTATATAGAAGAATTCTACGCGTGTCCTGGACAGAACATAGAACCAACCTGTCAATTCTGGAAGAGCTTCATATAAAAGACAGGCTACTAAAAAAAGTAAACCAAGCATACCTAACTTACTTCGGCCACATAGCTAGAAGAACGGGCACCATGGAACTATTGGTAGTAGAAGGTAAGGTAGAAGGCCGAAGACCAAGAGGAAGATCTCCAATACGATGGGTGGACCAAATGAAGAGTTTGGTGGGAAAATCCCTACATGAAGCCGTCCATATGGCACAAGATCGCAGTCAATTGAGACAGCAGACTAATAATATTTAGGGTGTCACTACGCCCTGACAAGGGCTAAAGGATTGAGGAGAGAGAATCTTTTATTAGTTCTAAGATAGTCTAACAAGCTATCTAAGAGAGTTATGAATATTCAGCTCAGTGGAGTCATATAGTTCTGAGGTATGAATTTCCATAAACACTGGATCTAATTGTTTTATGAAATTATCCCTTGTTTATGTAATTTCACACCTCTAACAATAGTACCATGCTAAGCTGAATATGAATGAGTCTCTTAGATAGCTTGTTATACTTTACTTATATACTTATATGGATTATACCGGGTGGTGAATCGCTTAACAGGCCATAGGAAATTCAATGGGAAATTATAAATTGTTTAATTCCTGCTTCCCTAATTATTTTACATCAAAAGTCATAGCAAACTATTTGTAGAGGACTGAAATATGTATTAAAAAAAAATGTTAAAATTGTTCTATGAATTAAATGTATTCAAAAATTTTGTAAAATTATAATACATTTTTCAGGCCACTCCTTAAAGTCAGGCCACACGAGGTACAAGAATGTGTATGACATGTTGCGTTTGATCATATTGATGATTCTGATATTTGACAATATTTGAATTGTCAATATTTTTATTTTGTGATTAAATTATACACAAATACACATTATGTACACTACTAGTGTAGTGTTACAAAGCAATAAAACTGATGAAATGTATTCAGTTTATATTAATGGAATTTATTCCTTTTCAAAAATTTTAACGCCGTAGAATTATGAATATTAAACTGGTCTGCAATGATCCGAGAACTTATTCTAGGATTTTTTACAACTCCTGCATTTGTACAAACTCTACATTTATTTCATTTTGTTTTTTTTTTCTAATTTTTTTGGTATCTCTGCAGTATTGTTTGTACAGGTACAATTAGAAACCACTGTGCAATTAGTTACTAAATTTTGTAAAATCCTTTGAATTGTTGAATGACTTTGAATTGGTCTATTGGAATATCTCACGCTAAATAAAGAACTGACAATTCGCGCACTATTGCCTGAATGAAACATTTTTATTATTGCTAGTTTCTCCTCAACTGAATACATTTTATAATCAACTATATTGTTTTTTAAACAATAAATCACAAAATTAAAATTTTGAAAATTCAAATATTGTCAAATATCAGAAACATAAATATGACCAAACGTAACATGTCATACATGTGGCCTGAAAAATGTATTATATTTTTACAAAATTTTGGAATACATTTAATTCGCAGAACAATATTATTAATTGTTTTAATACATATTTCAGTCCTCTACAAATATACTTCATCTAATTTAGATAACGACTTACGTCATTATCTACGTCAGAGATCGAAGTTGACATAGTTGCCAAAGTATAAAAGAATTCTGACTCCATTTTAAATCAAATAGGTCACATAATTATTGCAACAGTATTACCATCTCTTTACAACGACTATTTAAATTCTTACGTGACATTTTTGAAATAAAACACACTAATTTTGTTCTAAAAAGAACAGATTTTATTAAATAGGTAAAAATATAAAACAAGAGGTATTCACTTTAAAATTCAAAATAATAAAGTACAAAAAGTGTCAACACCGCAACTGTCAAATAAGTGTTACCAATTTATGCCAAAATTTTACCTTCGTTCGATTACAGTTACAGTGTGTTCCGAACAAATGTTCTTGATAAAAACTCTTTATAATGGATTTATACAAATTAAATGAAACATATTATTGTGTATTTCTTTAAGTTAACATTAATAGAAATTTTTAAATATTATTTCTACGCGTATATAATAAAATATGCCTAGTGGCTGTAATGCCAGTGTACTCGGTAAAGTGATTCTAAAAAGAACACACCTAAACCCTAAATATTTCGTGTTGGTATCATATGACGTCACAGGCTATGACGCCGATGACGTGAATCGTTATATAAATTAGATGAAGTGTAGTTTCTTATGACTTTTGATGTAAAATAATTAGGGAAGCAGGAATTCAACAATTCAGAATTTCCCATTGAATTTCCTATGGCCCATTTGATGATTCACCACCATGTATATTTGCAAAAGATGACATTTTATAATGGCTTACCTAATAGTAGCCCATATTTTTATTTATTTATGAATCAGTTTGAGTTTGAAGATTTGTTTTAATTGTTTTAGGGTAATAGAGAATTTAATAACAAGCATTGACAGACTCTTTCCTGATGTGACTTTTACAACTAATAGGCCAATGGTACCAAATCCTGTGATTCAAGTAAGTTTAAGCAATGCATTTTTTAAGTATTATTAAAAACTGATTATGTTCTAAATGTGTATCCTTTCATTTAATCTTTAGTTTTTGAAATGGTATAGTTTTCCATCGCTAAATCTAAATCATGTATTATCCAATCAGATTTAATTTCCAGAAACATCAATTTGAAAATTAGTATATCATAGATGAAACTATGATTCAGGCAATATATTCAGAATAAGTCTCATAAATGGGGATATAAAATGTTTGTTCGAGTTGGCATGTCTGGCTAAATTGCCGATTTTATTGCTTATTGAAGAAGAAACTTATTTTAGTGTAGGTGCTAGCGTTGTTATAAGTTTGAGAGAACCAAGATCATGTTTGATCCTTCAAATTCAGTAATTTTTTGCGACAACTGGTTTTCCGGTCTGGAGCTTTTTATTTATCTGAAGGAAAAATATGGGATACTAAGTTTGGGAACAATTAGACAAACCGAATCAAGGGATGTATAATGGAAAGTGGCAAGGTAATGTTGAAACGAAAGGTAAAGTATCATATATGTACAAGTCTGATACTGAAAACGGAATTATTGTTATTAAATGGACTGACAATAAATGTGAACTTTTAACAGTACTTTTTGTGGGATTCAACCCCTAACTTATGTACCAAAATTCTGTAAAACTGAAAAAAGAAAAGTAAATGTACTCTGTCCCTCTCTAATTACCCAATATAACAAGCACATGGGAGGGGTTGATAAGGCAAACTCTTTATGTGGATTGTATAGAAATCCAAGTAGAGCCAAGAGATGGCATTTTTTCCATTCTGACTTGGATATTGGACATATGTGTCATAAATGCATGGATTCTCTATAAAAATGACTGCACTGTTCAGAAAGTAAAACCTATACCTTTGAAAGCATTTAGAATACAGCTGTTAAGTTACTATATCTCCTTTGTCTCTGCACATAATTGTTCTTGGTTTAAATTCTTTTCTACTTTTATTAAGTTTTTGTTAAAATTTTCTTGTTTTTGATGGTTTATTTAGTTCTTCCATTTCTTGGAGTTATTTTTCTATTAGTTCTCTTTTCTTTCTGCTATGTATTTTATTCTCTTCCCTCCTTAGCATTCTATATTCCTCCTCTGCCTTTCGTGTTCTATGTCGTTGTTGTAGTCGTTGATATGCATTATTTTTCCTCTCTGTTATGTTACGACACTCTTCATCGAACCACTGTCCTTCACTTGATTTGTAGACCTAGGGTCTCTTTGACTACGTCTTGTATGATTATTTTACACGTTTCTCATTCTCTGTTTATATCTTCGTGCTTTTATCTGTTTTCTAGCCTTCCTTTTATATATTCTTTGTATTTTGCCTTTTTGCTGTTGTCTGCTAAGTTTTTTATTTCATATTTTTCAATTTTGGATCCCTTTTCTTTTTTAATGTTTGAGATTCTGGCTCTTATTCTACTTTCCACTAGGTAGTGATCCGAGTCTGCATTTTCCCCTTGTTTGATGCATACGTTTATTACGTCTGAGTGATATCTTCTTCTTCTTCTTCAAGTGCCTTGTCCGTTGCGAACGTTGGCTATTAACATGGCAATTTTGATCTTGTTTGCGGCGCTTCTGAATAGTTCGACCGATGTGAGCCCGAACCACTTCCGCAGATTTTGGAGCCACGAGTGTCTTCTCCTGCCTGGCCCGCGCTTACTGTCTATTTTTCCCTGGACAATCAATTGTAGCAGACGGTACTTATCGTGTCTCAATATGTGGCCTAGATATTCAAGCTTTTTTTGTTTAATTGTATTCACGATGTCTTTCTCCTTTCCGATTCTTTGGAGTACCTCTATGTTGGTGACATGTTCGGTCCAGGATATACGAAGAATGCGTCGGTACACCCACATTTCGAATGCTTCTAGTTTTCTCGTTAGCGTCTCCGTCAGCGTCCAGGCCTCCACGCCACACAGCAAGATCGGAAAAATGTAGCATTTAACTAGACGTAGTTTTAGGGGAAGAGACAAATCCTTGCTTATGAGGAGCTTTTACATATTGCTAAATGCTGCTCTAGCTCGTTCTATTCTCGCCTTAATTTTTATGGTCTGTTCCCATTTTGCATTTACGTTGGTGCGAAGGTACACATAAGATTCTACATGGTCAATTAGTATGTTACTTATTCGTAATTGTCGAGCAGGTTGTTGCTTTTTGCTTATCAGCATCCACTTTGTCTTCTTGAAGTTGAGGCTCAGGCCGTATTCCTCACTAACTGAATAAAGTCTTTCCATTACTTGTTGTAATTCGTCTATGGTACTGGCAAGGATCACCGTGTCGTCGTCGATGAGTGATATCTAGAGTCAATAATAACATGGTCGGCCATGTTTACTGTAACTCCATCTGGAAGCATATGCTGGCAATGACCAAATTAAGGGAAGTTTTCTAGATTTATTAGTCTGATGCCATTGTCATTGGATACCTCATGAAGGCTGTGCTTACCTATAGTTGGTAGGTATTGTTGCTATTTTCCTATTTTTGCGTTGAGATCACCATAAATAATTTTGATGACATTTTTTTGTTCATGAATGCAGCTTCTAGTTCTTCATAGAATTTTTTTTGACATCGTCTTCCTCTGTAGGGGCATGCACATTTAAGATGCTATAATTAAAAAATGTTCTCCTTAGTCTCAGGATGCACATTCTGGAGTTCATAGTACGAAAGTATCTTACGAGGTGTTTAACCTTTTTATTTACAATGAAGTCAGTACCTAGTGCGTTGTCTTTAGCGTCGCAACTATAGAATATTATAATTTGGTGCCTTTTGTTCACCAAGCAGATTTTGGAGGGCTCCCGATCTGTATAGGGATCGGATGTTTCATGTCGCGATTCTTAAACCATGTACCTTTTTCTCGCGCAGTCGTCGTCGTTTGATCAGTCCGGTTTTTTTCCTTGAACATTCCATGCGTGTTTTGTAGGATAGGGTTGTTAGCCCTATGCCTAACCCCCTTTTCGGACGACCATTTCTCCCTTCCTCGTCGGTCCAGGCCCTACTTTCCACTGGGGTTGGTTACCCAATCTCCGGTAGGGTTGCTCAGGTTTGCCAGAGTCCACCCGTGTGATCAAGTTACACTTCTTGGAGGTAAGGATAGGAATTGAGTAGGATTATGTTTGATTAAAAGTAAAAATTGTTTTTATATTTTTCACAATACACCTAGTTCCTCAGGGTTTAGTTCTAATATTTTTGGTAGTTCATATTTTCCTACATACTTTTATTTTACATGCTTGATTGTTAATTTTTTATTCTAAATAAACAAAAATATTTGATAATCTGATTTTTATCTTACCCCTTGAACATACAATCTAATACGTTTTAACTTTTAGGTGTCGCTAGGAAGAGTTCTCAAAGCAATTATTGCATTCAAAGGTTTAATGATTGAGTGGGTTGTAGTAAAAGCTCACGCAGAATCAAATGACCTTTGGACAGAATCTCGCTACAAGGTCTTTAGGAAAGTAACTGAGAATTGCCACGCTGCAATGTGCCATTTCCATTCTCCTTTGATGCCGGAATTAGCCATAAGGTCTTTCATGGTAAGCGAAATTAAAGGGTATTGCAATAATATATGTCAATAATAATTATAGATTACATGAAATTAACTTTAAATTGAGAATATCCGTCAGAAAAAAATCATAGCATATGATTCGTCTTTAAAAAGACAACCATATGCAGTGATGACAGTAAAATTCTCCTGTCAGTGATTCCATAGTAAATGTAGGAAAACATAGGAAAAACATAATACTATCCCGATATAGTAAGTATTTGGTCTTACATTTGGTTTACTCTCAATAAACACCAAAGTCTGATTTTATATGTATGATATTTAAACACAATTGATATACCCTTAATATGTATTGACTTACTAATAGTGGTATTTTAATATAAGACCAAAAACATTCTGAAATTTTAATCTGTTTGGAAAATTTCAATTTTTTATAAAAATAATTTTCAAATATATACTATTTTACACTAGAAGTTTTTCACATCAATAAGTAATTATAGTCGGCACGTAATTTCGTGAGAAAATTTACAGGAACGAAAGCAAGCAAAATACTAGTAAAATGGCAACGCTGTTAGAGTTACCACTATTTTATTGTAGTACATAGTAGTAGAACAGTAGCGTAGATATCTAATTTTAAATTAAATAAAAGTTTTTATTTTTATTTAATTTTATTTACCAAAAAGTTTCATTTTCTATAAAGTTTAAATAAAAATTATCGGTGTTTTTAACTTCTGTGATATATCTTGGGAGTGATAACACTAATCGACTCGACTGAACAGAACTTATTGTAAAATAATAATATCTATATAAAACATTGTTAATAATAGTAGTTATTCAACGATAATGACAGTGACAGTTTCAGTTGACATACTCCCCTAAAACAATAATAATTTTTGTCCTATCAAGAAGTGTGTTTATACCTTGTTTTCAAAGATATATAAGCAAAATGAGAATATCTACAATTAAAATAGAAATAAAGGTTTCAACTAACACCTAATAAGTACTCACTATCTACTCAGAATTACTGTTATCTCTAGTATCACTCGTATCATCTAAATTTATAGGTAATTTGGTTAATGCTGGTAAATATTTAACCTAGTCATTTTTCACTCCGATCACATGTTTTATTACATTTTTCCAATTAGTTGCTGTAATTTTTGTGACTTCTCTTCTAATTAACTGGAGAACAGTAGACAAAAAATTTTGGAGCAACCAACGTTTCTTCTCATTATATTTCCTTTAAGTTGAGTCCATATTAACTCTATTGGGTTCAATGTACAATAATAAGGAGAAAGTCTAAGCACAGTATGCCCGTTACTACGAGCACAGTTGTCAACAACATATTCCTTTTCGTACTGTTTACTATGAACAACCTCCAACAATTGCTTTTTAATATAAGATGTCTCAAAATACAAATCTTCCGTGAATAAAAATTCCTGAATTTTTAATTTATTCCAACTATTATTTAGAGTTTTTTTCATTAATCTTGAATGATATGATGCGTTGTCCATGATAATCACACTATCTTTAAGTAATTTCGGAAGAAGAGATTTTTCAAACCATGATTCAAAAATTGAACTTTCCATATCGTCATGATAATCCAGAGACGCGTTTTTAATTTGTTTTGCAGATATTAATAATGCATCGTCGACCCATCCATTTTCTCCACCGCAGTGTAAAATTATAATCCTCTTTCTTTTATTGGGAGGTACTGAGTTGAAACACTTTTTGTTATTATTTATCCAACTTTTTTTTCACGGTCTCATGAGTATCATACCAGGTCTCATCTAAATAAACAATATTTCGTTTCATTTTTCGATACTCAGTTATCTGTCTGATATAATTGTTTCTTAAAGAAATTATTCTAGTATTTTCCATTAATGTCTGTCTCTTGTCTATAGTTTTGTACTTAAAATTATTGGCTTTAAGAAATAATCGAAGTGTTGTTGCTTAACACGAGGGAATGCCCTTTCGAACTAATTCACTTCGAAGGCTTTCAATAGGTGGAAAAATATTAGCCGCGTACATTTGGTATATTGTTCTAGTTATAGATTCAATTAAGTGCGGTTCTATTTTTCTGAATTGTCCACAATCCTTTCTCTTCTATCTAGAAGAAGATGTTTCTCCTATAATTTTGTAGCAGGTTGCTTTGGGCACTCTGGTTAAAAACATGTTTCTGCAATTGCTTCTGATTTAGACAATTCAGCACACAGTCCTTCATAAACATTTTTTAGCATACGTTTGGCATCATCAGAAAGGCATTAAAAATGTCGCTTACGTTTTACTACACGCCTTTGTAAACCAATCGATTAGAGGGTTCCATTGTCTCTTCAGCTACATAATTATTATCGCACCACGGACGCAATATTTTAAAATTATCAAACGTATAAAAACATAATCACGTAAAAACGTATCAAAAAAAGTAAAAAAACGTAAAATGTTTTCCGTATAAAGAACACTGAAAAAAGTCACTACCAAACTAACTTGCGGTTCCCTATTTGAAATTTGAATTTAACTGAACGCTGTAGCAGTTATGATTTTACTAAAAATATTCTTGTCTCCCAAAAATCTGTTGGTCATATCCGCAATTTAAAAATAAAATATAAAAATTTGCCTACCTAAGTGATCCCCGTCCCGTGCCTTCGGCACTGGACGGTCCAAACCTAATACCTTATTTTATGACTCCGTAAGCTCAGTCAAATACTGATATAATCTTACCCCAAGTATGAATAAGTCTACCGACAAAAGATAATGCATTATGATTTGTCATAACAGCGATATCCGATGTTTTCATTGGCCGTTAGTCCACGTGGACTTATCAGAAGTTCGATGAAAACTTAATTGGTTGATTGTTCATATCTGGTTCATATTTTAAAAGATTATACCAAGCACGTCTGATTGTTAATATCGAGTGGAATCTGGAAACTTTGTATTAATATACGTCTGAGTCATTGATAATTTTACAGACTCCTGGTAGAGTACCTTTTTGTTGAATGATTTTATTACAGATACATATATTTTTGCACAGTCTCACGGAAATACGAGGCTACTATAAAAAACAAAATTTGTTTTTTTTAATCTCTTATAAACTGAATTTCTTCAAAAGGTTGAGTTTACCGGAAAGTACAAGCTGATTATAGCCGCAAATGTCAACCATGAAATAAAATATTTCTGTTTGGCAGTGTTGGGAGAAAGCTTTTAAAATGTAAATTTTAATTAAGTATACTATTTTATGAATTCTGCAATTTTTAATTTATATGAAACAATAACGAGTAAATATAATTGCATATATCTATTACAATCTGACAACTGCTGATTTGACGATTGCCAAATTTATTCCCTAATCTATGAAAGGGCAAATACCAAAAAAAATTTCTAATAATTAACTGCAATTAATCACCAAAGAAACAAATATTTACTCAGTCTTGTTTTATATAAATCAAAAATTGCAGAATTTATAACATAATATAATCAAAATGTACTTTTCTAAATCTTTATCTCTATACTTAAAGCATACAGCATATACATTATAAAAACATGCCAAAACTGCTAAACCGAATTTTTTTTCCATGTTGGATATTTGCGGCTATAATCAGCTTGTACTTTCGGTAAACTCAACCCTTCAAAAATATATTTGTTAGGTATTGCAGGTTCACTGACGATATTTTCTTTTCTGTAATTTTTTTAGTTTATCAATCAATGTTTTTTATGTTGCAGCATTGGTTTCACAGCTACATAACACTATTTAATGCTCCGTGTAAACGATGTAGCAGTCATCTAAACAATAACTTGCCGCCTACATGGAGAGATCTAAGAAGTTTAGAACCATATCATGAAGAATGTAAATAATAGATTAAGATTAGTATTTAGTGTCTTTTATATTTATATTTATTTACAAATAAAGTATTTGACTGTCTTCTTGTATCTTTATTGTATTCTTATTTATTACAATGAAAAAACTGCAAAATGTTATTTATTATACCTTCTTTATGAATTTCTGATAGTGACATAGTATGTATACTATGGACACCACAATCCAATCGTTATCAATCTTCTAGCAAAATTAAACTGACAAAAACTAAAAACAATACGTCGAAGGAAACCATATGGAAATCAATGGAAGAATATATGGACAGCTTATAACTCTATAGACAAAGGCAACTCTTGATATGCAGGCGACGCAATATTGATAGCCAAAAATGAAGATAGTATATCTTCAGATTTGAACTAGTCCACAGATTCAACACAAGAGCAAAAGAATTTAATATAACGATTTTAACTACGAAAACAATAGTAATCAGTATAGAATTAACCAGATGTAATTAAGAAATGGACGTAGGCGTATATTCTGGCTGGCTAATCTTAGAAAGTGGACTGGTTTAACGTTAACTAATTTATTTAGAGCTGCTATGAATAGAATAAGATGGGCCAATGTGGTCACCAACATCTCTAGAAGATAGGCACATTTAGAAGCAGAATTAAGATAGTATACAGGTAAGGGAACGACGGGTAATTACGAACACTTAAGGAAAATAATTGTTTATTTGAAATATAAAAATGTTGAAAACTCGGAAACCACTACAGAGTGGCTAACAGTAATATATATATATATATATATATATATATATATATATATATATATATATATATATATATATATATATATATATAAGGTGGAGCATAGAGCTTCAGTGAAAACGCGCCATCGGGTTCTATTTTGCGCTAAGGCCTTCACCTCATTCCAAGACTTTCCTTGTTTTCTTATCTCGTCCATGATGGATGTTCTGCAAGTTTGTACTGGCCGCCGTTTTTTTTTAACAGTAATACAGCTATTAATTTTTGTTATTTGATAATCAAAAATAAAAATTTTAATAATAAAAAAACTGAATTAAAAATGTTCACGAAATATTCGCTGTTACCCGAAATGTCGGGTAATAATAAACATGAGAAGGGTAATGGCGAACAGTATTACCTATTAACAAAAATCACATTTATAGTTGTCCGGTGTATCCGAGCCGCTGCATAATTTATGCACCCATCCACCACATATAATGCAACGGAACCAAAGTTCGCTTTTCCCGAACTCACCACAAATTCCGACGATTGTAATGAAGTCTCCTTCATTACAATCGTCGGTATTAATATCGTCATTGTCGTCAGATTCATCATCTTTTTATGATGTCGAATCTTCCTCTTCGCTTGAAGCTTGTAGTACTTTTCTCTTTGCACTTTTATTTTTCTTTTTTAAAAATGTTTGTTTTTCAATTTCTTTTTCCATTTTTGATTTCCTTCTAAGCTCCTTTTGTTCGACTTCTAATTTCAAAGGCGTTGAGGTTAGTATTTCGGATCTTTGTTTTTTTTTTTTCTTCCACCCTTCTTCGGAACAGATATCTTTTGTTTTTCTTTCGGTAAAGGCAAGATATCGCTGAATGAAACATTTTTGGTATTTTCACATATCTGGTTTTCTTTGGAAGGGCCTGGTTGGGGTTCCAGTAAATCTTCTTGAATAGTTTGAGAAAGACCTTCTTGGCTATTATTTTGTTGAGTTTGATTATCGTTTGAACTGTAAAAGTCTTCTTCATTAAATGTATTTCGGTTGAATGGAAAAATTCCGGTCTTCTCAAAACCGTTTGCACCTTTGTCTATGCTTGCAACTCTAGTATACGCCTTTGAGAATAAAGTGCTTATATGGTACATTTCAATTTTCTCATAGGGTTGAGATTTTAAAAACGAATCACATTCAACGTCATATGCTCGCCTCAATGATGAGAAAAAGCTAACGTCTAGTGGTTACAGACGATACGAGGTATGTAGAGGTATTGACAGCATAATGATACCATTTTCTTTGCAAAAATTATAAATTGCAATAGAGCAATGACTGGAGTGATTGTCCAGCATCAGTAAAATGGGATCATCTCTTGTAGGTTTATTGGTTTTCGCAAAATGTTGAGTCCAAAATATTGTATATTTAAGAATTAAGTTTTATGTTTAGAGTAGAATCTAAGATGTATTTTAGACATTACTGTTTGTGTTAGTCTGTATGCAGCTTAAGATCATGAACTTTAGTGTGTAGACAGCTTAAGCTGACAGCTGACAGAGAACAATGATGGCCGCTAGTTAGAGCCCGTAATGTAAGTTATATGTTTTAAAAAAAGAAAATAAAGTTCTCCAGAATAGTTATTTTTATAATATCCACCACCAACGAAATAAAACACAAAACAGGAACACTTCTTCGTTCATCCAACCGCTTTTTGAACAGGAGTACAAAGAACCTGGAGACCCATCCTTTTCTAAAGCAGGATTTGTTCTCAGTCTTTGATAAATGAATAGTGGAGGTGTTAAAGATCCGCTGGCACTCATACAACAGCATACCGTCAAGTTCTTGACTCTTTCTCCACTTGTAACGGCTCCAACTTGTTTTTGGCCTCTAGGTCCAATGATCCGATTAGGCCTATTTACGTTTGTAATGCCAGTCTCATCGACATTAAATATTCGAGTAGGTGGAAACTTGTATTCATCGTACAGCTTACCCAAATTGTCATAAAACCTAGAGACTTGATCCTTATTGAAACCTTGAATGCGATTAAGACTTGTTGCTTCAGGTTTACGGAAACTTAACTCAGGATGCCTTGACATGAATCCATATAACCAGTCTTTACCTGCTTCTTGTTTTTCTCTGTTGAAACTATGTTTTAAGTTTAATTTCTCTGCATAGGCGAAGGCCTCATTTCGCAACTGAATTGGGGTTAATACATAAAATATTTTAGATAACGTTAGTAAATGACGACTCATTTCTTCTTCCTGTTCATTTGAAAAGAGAGTGTTTGCACCCAGCCTGCCTTTGTAAAAGCTTCTAGAGACTCTGTTTTGTAATGTTGTAACAGGTATATTAAATTGGCGTGCAGCTTCCCTTAGGCCATAACGTCTTTCTTCAATTGCCTTTAGAGCAGCTTTCATTTTATCATCAGTCCATGAAAATTTGTTGGTACTTCGTTTCCGTTTAAAAGGCATCTGAAAAAGATACAAATTGTTAAATAAGCAAAAGAAAAGCAAAAATGTAAAGAATCTAAGCCAAATTATTAAAAGAGTAAACGCGAACACTTAGCGGGTAATCGCAAACATCTGATTTTTAATGTATGATTAAAGAAAACTAAAATAATGCAATAGTAAATAAAACAAAATATATTTAAATAATGTCTAGTTGTATTTGTTTAATTTGCTGCAATGAATGAAAGATTGTGATGCCTTTTAACCTTTTTTTTAAGGTTCATCTTTAGGCGGTCGTCCAAATGGTAACATTTTTGATCCTCTAGTAAATCACAAAATTCTTCGGCTAATTGAAGTTGCACTGTTATATTGGCCTTGTGTCCAAATCGCCTTGCCGAGGAACTTCCTGCCGTGTTTAAAAAACTTTTCCAATCCGTTTTTGTTTTAATATGGGATAATCTTTTGTGCAATAATTTTAAAGTTCTTATTTTTCTAGTAATTTACATAAGGAAGATGTTAATAAGCATCTAAGTCTATAAGATTCCGAGTTTGACTTGTTTTTGTTAGGTTTCAAAAGAGGAATTATCGTAGCGGTACTCCGGGATTTAGGAAATTGTTTAGTCGAAAATTACAAATTGTACATATCTAAGAGTAGATGTTTAGCAGCTAACGGAAGATTAATTAAAAAACAATTTGGAATTTCATCTGGTCCAGTTTCTAGTTTTCTTTAATCATACATTACAAATATTATAAAAACAGTCTCCTTTTAGCTGATTTTAATAAAAAGTCGTCTTTTTTGGTCTACGAATGCTTAACATTCCGCATATGAATTTCACACCAAAGTAACATTTTATAATACGTGTTTGACACATCGCCAGTAGATATAGTACACAGATCCTGGACCAACCCCTAAATTGCAACCCCTAAAATCGCAACCCCCGGTCGTAAGTTCCAAACGGCTTAACGTAGGATGACGTACGAGGGCTCGTTGGAAAGGGGATGAAAAATGGGGTTGAATGCAGTATGTGCCATGCGCATCGGAGCATGCCAAAAGGTCATTATGGGGTATCTTCGTTTCTATTGGTCCGATGGGGGCGTACGAGGGCTCGTTGGAAAGGGGATGAAAAATGGGGTTGAACGCAGTATGTGCCGTGCGCATCGGTCAATGCCAAAAGGTCATTACGTCATATCTTTGTTTCTATTGGTCCGATCGTGACGTACGAGGGCTCGTTGGAACGGGGAGAAAGCAGGGAGACAAAAAACAAAGATGGCGGCGTTGCCAAATGGGCGCTAAAACGTATCTTCGTTGCTATTGGTCTGATTTTGACGTATGAGGTGTCAAAGCGTTGGATGTCACGTGACATTCGACGCAGGACGTGACATTTGTCACAGAACGTGACATTTGACGCAGGACGTGAAATGTCACGTGAAATGATGGGACGTTCGACGTAGGACGTGACATTTGACGCAGGACATGTCATTTGACGCAGGATGTGACATTTGACATAGATCGTACAATGTCACGTGAATTGACGTGACATTCGACGCACAACGTGAATTGCCGTGATATTCAACGCAAGACGTGACACGAGGGCTCGATGGAACGGGGATGAGACGGGGAATACTTTGACACAAAAAACAAAGATGGCAGCATTGCCAAATGGGCGCTAGAATGTATCTTTGTTGCTATTGGCATGATTTTGACGTATGAGGTGTCAAAGCACAGAAGCCATGTCAACGATCAGTATGAACATTCTTCTTCTTTTCCGGACAGTGGCTAAGAGAACGTTGACGAAGGACGTGACATTCGATGCAGGACGTGACAGTTATGTGACATTCATCACAGAACGTGAAATGTCGTGAAATTTGACGCAGGAGGTGACAGGTATGTGACATTCAACACAGAACGTGAAATGTCTCGTGACATTT